AATGTGATGTTCGATCATCCCGTCATCCTTGACATGAAGATGTTGAGGTTCCTAGCAACATGACAAAATTGGTGGGTGTGGGATCCACAAGAAAGAACTTTGGCTCAAGAGATATCAATGAAGATGATGGGCCGTCTCCCGTGGAAAGAACATCATGTGTTTGTGTATTATATGTGTAATATAGAAGATCAACATTCTGAGAAGCTAGATCTCCCATCACTGGACAAAATCGGAACGTCACCCGCATGCATCCATTTATGTGACCAGGACGGTACTCCTTGCACCAAGTCCCAGATGGCCAAAGACGTGTGGGCCCAAAGATTTGATGCTCCATGTTTTTGAGCTGCCCAAACAAGAGGGAAGTTGGAAGCAGGCTTACCTGTAGTATCCTGTAGTTGTTGTTATGTTTGTTCAGATTTTCGATGCATGCGGGAAACCTCCCATCCGGTCTCCACCGTGACTGCGGACCAAGGTGTAGAGTCTCATCTTCCATTCGCCTACCAAGTGAATAAGAGAAGTGGTTTAAAGCCTGGTGCAAACCAAAGGGTTGTTGGTTCCACATCCAACACCAACTCCAAGCAGTTTGGAACCCTTTGTTCTACAGTACAGTGATCTTGGGATATCTTGTGTGGTCTTTACCGTGGTGCAGGTCGTTGTTTCACAGCACAAACATTCATTATGAGCAGGTCTTTGTGCATGAACACGTCCGAATCAACATTCCGCAAGCCGGCCGAGTATGCGTTGTCATTCCATGTCCTCACGTGGAAACGGCGGAGGTGGGGGTCTCTCTGAAATTAACATGGTTCCAGCCATGCATGGATCATGCTGGCGCATTTCCACTGGCACGCTTCAGTCACGAAGGCATTTTTGGAAGCGCTGTTAAACAAAACTGGTCTCGCCCAAGTTCCGCGGGCTGGAGAGGCTTTGCAAACCAAGAAGGACTTGCAGATGGAGCCACCAGAGCTCTGCACCGAAGGGGTGAGCCTGAAAGAGCCAAGTGTTTAACGAAAAAGGCTTCCTAGTGGACCTTGAGATGGGCGTCCGCATAAACTACCTTTGGGGGTAGACAGGTAGTTTGAGAGCCGTATTCAATATATGGTAAGTTATATGGTAATATAATATAATATAGGGAGAGAGACAGGTGAATTTTTCATCGGACTCCCATGTCACAAGGGCTCCACCATACTTGGTTAAAACATCCTGATTCAAAAGATTGATAAAACATGATGCCGTTCACAGTGATACATAGGTCACCCCATACTTCCAGTCGTTTTCTGACGCCAACCAACCCACCACCACTGCCGCTCCGTGCGAGGTGGTGAATTTCCTGTGCTGGGCCGCGGAGCCGGCGCACGACGAACGGAAGCTCATCGGCCTCAAGGTGCGTCAGCCAGTTGTGGGGGTGAGAGCCTTGGGCAAGGAGCAGCAATCCTTCTCTGAAGTGGTTTTGAGGGGAGGGAGTGAAATGGAGTGAAAGATGTAAACCTGAAAATCACATATAAACCAGCAACCTCTTGATGAACCTTGGAGCATCGAGAACCTTAAGTCTTGCTCAAGGACTAGAAAGGTTGTGGCTGCGCTTGAAGAATTTATCGCGAATCTCGAAACAAGATCCAAGAAAACACAACCTGCCCTTCTTTACCCCGAGATTTCACTTCCACTCGATGCAGTGCATCCCGACCAGTGGCTCGCTGTGACTGAAAGCATCACTGACAGACTGGCAGATTGAAGTCAACAACCAATGATGTGTACTCGACCTCACTGTGGGCTACATACTACTTCACAAGTGGGGTCCACCGGGTCCATGTGACTTTCCTGGTTTGGGACGACGCTCGGTCGCACACCCGACGGGAGGCAGCGAGCGCCTGCTTGGTTGGTACCTTTATCGTCGGCTTTTGGTATCGAAGCATGTGGATCGGGTGCGCCGGACCAAGCGACGAGATGATTCAGACGAGACCGGTTTGTTCGGGAGCGGGTTTGTTGGTAAAGGGAACTCCGTCCTCATGGAGAACCATCGCGTGGTGAGGGGGGGTTGTATTGTTTAAGGTCTTCTTTTTGCTTGGTGGTGGCAGCTTCGGTTGCCATTCATGGATGCCGTTCTTACTTCCCTGTATCGGTTTGGAAGTGCTGCTTAGTAGCTCGGGTTGATTTTATAGTTTTTTGTTTTAGATGCTTTATTTGCGTCCAATGACAAGTTGTTGACTGTGCATGTTGTTGGAGGATAATCCTTTCACGATCACTGAAGCGGAATCTGAAAATAGAGCCGTGGGCCTGTGGGCCTCCATGTGTTCAAGTGTGTGTTTCGGTACGTGCTTTGGGGTTCCATTTATCTCCAGATGTGTTCAAGCTTCTGCTACCTGTGATTTTGCATTCGTGAGGATGTGGTTTGGTAGGAATATCGACTGTTGTTCAGAGAAATGACGGAAATATTGTCTTTTGCAGTCACCACGTTCTGACCGCAACTTGGCATGCATACATGGCACCAGACTGCCGGTTTTCAAAACAATAAAACGGGGCAAAGGTCCCCGTAATACACACACGTCATTGATGAAGGTCCCAAGAAACTGGTTGATATGTAATACCCCCAACACTGGTTCTTGGTCTCAGTATCCGCACAAAAAACGAGTACTATCAAACTCACCGTTTTGGTGTCAGTTTCCCAGTCTTTCAAAGTATACTTGCATTGTTTCTTGGTGCCTCTTCCACGAACGCAAAGACTCCGATGTTTTTTGGTCAAACATTTGTTCGGTCTCCCGATGAGCATCGACGGGAGAGCGCTCGGAGCTACGCCAAACTCATCAAATTCTCGGGGTCCCACCGCGTGACCCGGGACGGTTTTTTTTGTTTCGGCTGGGCAGGTTCAAGACACGCCGCATTGACTTTACCAAAGCTGTGATGTGCGGATCCCATGTGGCGAAGGGGAACGCAGCTTGAGAGAGAGAGAGAGAGTGAGAGAGAGAGAGAGAGTGAGGAAAACACTAAGTTGTTGAAGGGTCCGAAGAGACAGGAGGGGATGACAAAGGATTGGTCGACTTGGGAGCAGGTTTCGCAAAGCCCTCAATCATGTGTTTGTGCTGCATGTATGCTGTATATAGCATTATTATGCATTATTTGTCCATGGTTTTTGTTCTAAATTATTTTCGGATGTTCCAGAGTGAAATGGGGGTACTACAGTAGATAGGTATTCAAATTAGGTCCTTGAGGGTGCTTCATGATTCTCGAAAATCTGCCAGAGACGAACACGTTCCAAGGTGAGACAGTCCTGAGCGATTTCCTTCGGGCCGGCAGATGAGACCCGCGCCTGCGCCTGTTAGTGCGTGCGCTTGCGAACATGGTATGCCCAGCATGCGCTTGGTTCGAAGATTGTGGAAGTTTGGCGACACCCTTTGGATTGTGTTTCATCCTTTTTCTCACTGTTTGATCTGTTTGAGAAGGACAATTAGTTTGCCAGGCTGCTTCCACTCATGAAGGGAGTAAGTGTGAAAATAGAAGAAAATAGTAGAAAATATAGGTTCTGCTATATGCTGAAATGTTCTATTGTGTTATTTGTAATGTTGGTGTTGACTCAGAACGCCAGCCTCAAAAGAACGTCGATTGGCAAGTCCTATGCACCGCAGCCATCCATAGAGAGATCTTAGCTTTTTGTATCTTTGAACAGCCTCGTGGCTGGTGGAAAATCTGCGCCGTGCTTGTGTCCATTGAGGGGTTCCGTCCACATGCCCCTGATGAAACATGGAAAGGCACAGACTTAGTGGGGCTAATTATATACCTTTGTGTGAGAATCGATTGAATAGATGGTGAACTGCCATTGCGCTTGTGTATGGACCAAATCCCACCAAATGTTGACCTGTGAGTTGTGCCATCTACTGGTACAGTTTTCACACCGATCTACATATGTCTTAGACGGCCACAAAACACGGCGACGAGCTCAGAGCTCAGTTCCTCTCAGGACATGCGTTCCTCAGAACGACCACCATTTGGAATGTGCGTTTGAAACTTGGCAACGTATTTTTGTTGCCGCATATCCATATCCACGAACATATAGAAACAGAAACTTATCTTCTTGGTTTCTTTGCTCGTCCCATTGGCAGCAGGTCGATGGGCTACCGGCCACAAAGGTTGAAACCGCTAGGTTCGGACCATCCTGCAGCTACCTCGGAATAGTTCCACCAACCCACTGGTTCGGTCAAGCTCCGTCTTTTAAGTGACACGATCAAACGATAAAGCGCTGTCACAACATCGCAGCCATGTCTTGCTGTTTTGCCACTTGCCGCCAGCTTGCAGTACTAGCTGGAGAGGGAAGACCTTTGTTTGCTGATAATCCCGAGGAAGCTTGTTTCTTGTCAGAATGTTCATTTGGACAAGACCTCACAACCCCCGAAGCCCCAAGTGAGTGCTGAAACTAGTTAAAGCCAAGCCTTTTGTGTTGAGCTTGCTCCACCATTGAGAGAGTCAATGCAAAGAAGTGATTCAATGCACTCCCAAAGATCCGAGGCACCGCCTTCGAAGCATGAGACACCGCATGAGACACCCTTCAAACAACCAAAGGAATCCGAGTGGCAGCTGCGACGTCGCAGTTTTTGCCTGTTTTGCGCTTTGATAGCATCGTGCACTCAGACAATGTAGCATGGTGGAGGAGAATGGTCATGTTTTCCCCTTTCAAAGTCTTGAAGCTGGAGCTGGCAAACAAGTTGACCCGAAAGGCATCTGATTGGCAAAGATTTGCCACGTCTCGGGTCTATGTTTTCATGCAAAGCAAGCAACCAATTGCTTGTTGATGGAACTAATCCATACAAATCCTGCTTCGCCCAACCCAGAGAGGACACAATAAGTAGATACCCCAGGCGTCCGCATATCGAAAGCACTTGACCCGCCCATCACCGAGATCATTGGTTCACATCACCTCGATCCACGCATGATCAGTTGAAAACCGATCCTGTGTTGGGGTCTGATATTCGACTCACATCGACTCACATCCATCTCATTCGCATCTCGACAATCGAAAACGACCCCAAGCACAACCGCGGGGTGAACGTGCGAGCCATGGGGGTTGGATCTGTCCGACGCCACAAGCCGACCATGGGTGCCACGGGCGGGGGAACGGGAGGTGTTCGAGGGAGAACGCAAGACGCAGGCTTGAGCGGCGCAGATGGTGGGACATAACTTGTGTTTCTCAGGATGAAAGGAGAAACTCGACCACGACATCCCGAAGGTGTTAGAATTTTGCATGCTTTCAGAGCAAGTTTGAGTTCCTCCATTTCTGGTGTCTTCCTCCCAGTTTGTGTTGAAAGACCGCTACTATGTTGGGTAATTATTCCAGTTGGCCATCTTTGTTTCCTCCATTACCATGCTGGGTCTTTCAGTGTTGTTCTACTATATAACATGTTTATACAATTGAAGTATATAGATATATTATATATATAATATTTATGAGAGTCGTCCTAAAACCCACATAACAACACAACCCCCATATATATAACATTATAATATATATATATGAACACGGTGATGTTCCAAGAGCCCTCTCTCCTTCGTGCGCTCCGCAGTTTCCGTCATGTGCCTTGGATGGATTCATGGTCGCGGGGGCCAACCAATCTCGTGGAGCTGGTGGACAGGTGTGGCTTGGATGAGTTGTTCCCAAAACTAAGTGTTAAGTGTTCTCATAAATGATAAAGGGCTCTCATCTAAAGTTTATTGGCTTGCATACTGTTGAGTGCTGACTCCTTCACCGGAAGGGCTAGGCAAGATGCTGCTAAGCTAATGTTTCAGGTATGCTAGGTCTTGATTGAAACTATTCTACCAACGGAAATCAACATGTGCTGACTTTGGGTGTCCATCCAATCTGTACCTCTTGGATCTGGCGAGGAGTTTCCCTGACGTGCAGACGGCGACTTCTTCCCGAAGCTCCTGAATAGACCCCGCGGATTCAGATCCAGCAAATCAACGGCACAACATCAGATCATAACATTCGCTCGTTGGATAGAAAACGATAGAAATAGCATGAAGTATCTACTGTATATACTGTATAACTACTGTAATTATTCAAAATCAGCGTGAAGGGAGCTGGGAGCTGATCCATCAATATCCATCATGTTGGTGGACCTGGAATCAATTGGCTTGTCCATTCAAACCTCCCGGGCATCGGAACATCAGCGACCCAAACAACGTCCGAGATCCGGACACGGCGTGGTTCATTCGGAGACTTGAGGATGCGGTGAGTTCTGCCAAACATGATGAGATGTAGCTACGGTGGATGATGTATGGTGATGTAGGTTCAGTCCAGGTAGTCTAGGTCCCCGAATGTTTACATCATGGGAAAAAAAAGAACATTAGGGCACAAACAAGAAACATGTGACCTGCAATCCCAAATATCCCATTGAAGTCCGATGTGCTGAAACATCGTTCATACCTTTCTGCTTCAGCTCCGGATCCCAACAGCCAGGGCTGAACCCTCACGCCCAGGGCTGAATTCGACCGCCTCAAGTCCCACGGTGTGGACGGCGAGGCGTGCGGCTCGCGGGGCGGTGCGCGGGGGTGGAGGTTTCGAGGGGTTATCTATAGGGCACCCGGCGGCCGCAAGGGTGTGTATTGACCCTACAAATGCAATAGGCCCAAAAATGAACGAAAGAATGGCTCTTGGGGTGTGTATGGAAGTAAGGGGGCCTCCCGGTTGGACCCGCTGGAAGAAGGAAAACAGACCAAAACCATCCAAAAAACCATTGGTGGGGTGTCTCCCCATTATATTATATAAATACACACCCAATTGTTCTAGGCTCCGAAATCAGCAGATACAAGACGGACCTATTTTTAGAGTCTACTAGAGGGGCATTCATCAAGGCCATCCCGTTTGGCGGGAGATGATGAACATCCCACCATCATCCACCATCTATGATGGTTTGGTAGCCCAGCTTGTGCAGATGAATCTACTCTTCCTCCATCCAACATTCATGGAAGTGGACAATGGCCCTCCAAACAGTGATTGTGTTCCACTTCCACAATTGTTGGAGAGTGTAGCAGTCGGCTGGAACATGCCCGGCATGTCCAAAACTTTCCACTCGTTGGGTTCTGTGAGTTGCTGGTATCCAAATACAACCCTGTTTGGGGGAAACGACCGGATCTCTGCTCCTTTGGGAAGCGATAAAGAGCAGGGTTGTTTTCGGGTTGCAGGTTGGTTGGTGAGTGTTGACCCACACTAGTCAGTCTGGTCATCCATGATGAACCATTCCACTGATGTTCCAAGACCAAGACGAGTAGCATCCGTGGCCACATACGGACAGGTCAGAAATCGTTGAAAAGAAAGGGCGACTGAACCAGTTTCAGAATGTATGGCTCAAAGCAAGTAATTACTTGAACTGTGGGCAAGTAGTTCTTGGTATCCTTAATTCGTGGAGGCACCGGCTAAAGACAGCAATGCAGACTCTGGTTGTTTCTACTTACTGGAGGCCATCGCTTCTAGGTTGGAGGCCATCGCTATTAGGGGCTCCTGGCATCGCTACTAGTAACAAGAAGCTACGATCGGGGCTCCTGGCCTTACTACTAGGAGCAAGGACGCTACGAACGGAGCAAAGGGCATCGCTACTAGGAACAAGGACGCTATTAGGTTCAATGATTGCAATTGATTGTTGATTCACAAACAGCGACCGCAGTCGCACCGGTCGCCGTCGCGCAGGCCGTGTGGGGCGCCTGGTTCAAGGCCTGGAAACCGCCGTGTCCCAGGTCCAAGAACCGGTGCATCCAGGTGTCAAAGGGTAGAGAAAAAGGGGGGGGTTCTTTAAAGGATTCCAGGGCACGGTGTAAGTAATTAGCTTGTTTTTGGGCGAAGACAAGTATCACTGCTGTGCCTCCTGTGCTTCAGATTGATGCCTTGAGGAGAATATGCCTACATCGTCGAATCTTTTTCAACGATGCATACTGCGTTATTTAGAGGTCTGGGATATATAGGTGTGTAGTGAGGACTCTACAACGCAAAATTATGCAAAGTTGGGGCCTTTAGTGTAGGTGGGGGCCAAAGTAAATCATGTTTGTATGGGAGATACAAACAGAAGTTGGCTTTTGGTATTGAGATCCCATTGGGTAGGCAGGGTAGCTGAGACTTTTGAAAAGCTCTTGTGTGCGCTATTGCAGAACCGCCCGTTGCGCTATTTTTTGGCTGTGGTCATAGCGTGAGGCGCGCCAGTTTCGCAATCGTTCGGAACGTGACCCGGCCTGACACAGCGTTGTGGTTCAGGGATGCCATGCCTCCTCCACGCCCAGTGGAGCCCGGCACACTCAGGGGGTTGGGAACAGGAAGGGACCCAAGCAAACCATCTAATTAGAATCCATGCCGCCTTTTGTTGGGTATATTGGGTAATTTTTGTGGCCAATTATGTTCTAATATTTACATGTTAATAAACGTTCTCCGTCTCAAGAACCTATCTAGGGCCTAGGGGATTGTGTCATTTACTCTGAAAGCACTGTAGACTCCGAGATTTCAGAAGGATTCAAGCTATTGAATTTGTTACGGGCGGCTTCACTTGCAATGGTGGGGCAGATCAAAATGTTCTTCCAAGGGTATTTTTGTCACCAAACAGAAGAAAAATGTCCACTGGATGGCCCTAAACTTAGGACACCTTGTTGATGATAAGTGATAAAATAAGTTCCAGCTTTATAGGTGTATGCTTCACCCATTGCTCAAAAATGAAAAGTTGATACACAAAGTCTCTTGTGTAAAGCAGGGCGAGTCCAAACCTCTGTGTTTTTGGCGTTCATAGTTTTCAGCTACAAGACTGTACAACACTAATCAAAACTACAGTATATATATAATTTAGGTGTCTAAGTGATGGATTTGTTTTGGTCAAAGCGGCATGGGTTGCAAGAAGATGCAGGCAAGTGCACTACTATTATATAATTAGTCAAATTGCTGCTCACGAGACACATTCAAGCAACAATGATGGAGAGTCGCCACTTCCGACTTGAGTGGCTTCAACACTCACATTCTGTGGTCATGTAGACAGCTTGCCCTGCAGCTAGTACTAGGACTGCTTGAAGCTTTCAGTGAAACTGACAAAACTCAGCAATCCACGCTACTTTCTACAAACACGCTGTTTTGCCAACCCTGCGGCCGTGGATAGTCCACTACAAGTCGCATGGTTGAAGAAAGAAAACCAAAGTCGCTTGCAAAAAAAGCCCTTCACTTTCCAAAACGAATTGTTTGGGACATTTGGGAACCTTCAGCTCCCTCCCTGGGACGCACAGGTCTCACTGCCACAGGCGTCCACACACATGGAGGCGGCATCGGACGATGACAGCTTGGTCGTTGGTTTCCTGGAACCTCCCATGAATCACGGGATGGTAGATTAAAACAGGCTGTATTCTAGGAGTTTGTACCCCGAAATAGAAACAAAGGATAGTCATCATAAGAGCGAACGCCAGCAGTCCTCATCCGCGTGTCGTTGCGGGGAGGCAATTTCAGTGGATCGGGAATTCAACTGCTCGGGTATACCAAAAAGTCGAGCCCAGGTACTGTGTAAATATACAGGTGTAGATGTTATGTGTATACATATATACACTGTATAACATATTTGATTATCATTGACGCGTCATGACACATCATCAAAAGCTCCGAAAACCCAGAACCGTTTGGTCGAATGCTGCCGGAGGAGCCAGTTCTGACCCTGAACGCCCTCCAGCGGCTAGTTACTCCCCAGGTGCCAATTGATGTGGGCCGGAGGATTTGCTTGGGAGATCTTGAGAGTATGTTGTGGGCATAGGGTTGAAAGCGTGAACCCGTTCTGGGCTCATGCTTCCTCCTGAGAAGGCAGTCAGTTAGACAGTTAGAGCCACGAAACCTACCCATGTGATCCCATGTGTATACTGTACCTGCTCAGACAGTAGCTGGAGCGTGAATGAAGAGTGCTGATGAAAATCATGTGAGCATCGCCTTCTTTTGCAGATTCACGCATGTCCATACACTCCTGCTACTGGTACTGTAGAAGAGTTTGGAGCATCCCCTGATTGCAGATTAAGAAGGTTAAGAAGGTAGTAGTCAATCCTCCCTGGTGTGGGAAGAGGCGGGGAACCCTGGCTATATGGGTTCTCCTCACACCGCTCCAGGCTTTCCGGGTGACTCCGGGGGGGGGTTCCCCAATGAATGCACTGAGTTGGCTTCAGACTGAAGTTCTTTGGCAGATCCAATGGGCAGGGAACTGCCATGTGTTTTTGCTGGGAGGAGCAAGCATAGTCTTGAACGCTACCTGTGTTTCAGGGTTCCGTCCTGAATGTTTGACTGGAGTTTTCGGCTACCATGTTCTTTGTTGTTTCGTGCAATATAATCGTCTTGAGTGCTGCGTTTCTTCCGGGAGTTTGTGCCTTTGTGCCTATGTCTTGGGACATGCAAGGGCTTCTGCCACATCCGCCAGGAGTACATGCTGGACTTCCGCCATATCGCCACACTTTGGAAGTTGGACAGCAACCACGATGGCGTGGTGTCCTTTGAGGCTTGTGTGTGTGTGTGTGTGTGTCACACTCTGGGGCATGGCAGCTGTTTCCCTAGCCATGCCAACGAAGCTATGGGATTCAGCCGGAAGGGAATGTGGACGCACATTCCTGTACCTGCAACTGAAACTTTTGACCAAGCTTTTCCACTTTCGGTTTGGTTCCATGGTGGTTGATCACGATACTCTCCCCCAAACACTTCCTTCAGCAGCTTTCTGCAGCTTTCCACCGCTGAGTCAAGCGAAACCGCAAGTGAGCTGACTTCACCACTTTGCGTTTCCATCGTCCAGTTTCCTGAGGAACAGAGTTAACTGCAAACCCATTGTCTAAGTGTGTTATGTTGTGTATGTTGGACATTTCATCACAAGGGGCCTCTAGCCGGATGGGTGGAAACTCGGTGGAAACTTTGGAATTAATCCCTTGACGAAGGCCCTGAGGAAAGAAAACGATGTGTCGAAGCGATAAAAGGGGGAGTACTGGGTCCAGGTTGCTTTCAATATGGTGTGTTCCAAGACCCTTCATGTTCCCGATGGACACTGTCATCAGAAAGCGTAGTTGGAATATGAATAAGATAGTTCATCACCTCAGAGAACCTTTGGAGCATATGGAACCTTGGAACCTGGAACTCGGGTATCGTGTTGAAACCCTGTTCAAGCATGTCTTCACTGTCTTGACGAAACCCCTCTTGAAGAAAGAAATTCAGAATATGAACTGGAAGAGAAAAAACAACGCAGACACACGCACTCGCCCCGCTCTCGAGGAGTTGGTGGCCTTCACGGAGTTCATCAACGATCACCGGAGTTTGGGCGACGTTGAGCTCTCGCAAAAGCTCAAGGCGAGCAGAGCAGGGGGGAAAAACGCCATTGTCTAGTAACACTGTCTCGAGTCTCTAGTGTTTTGGTAGAGGCCTACTGTTTTCTACAAGACAGCATTTTTAACGGATGATATAACAACATAACTTCCATACTCTAGCAATTCCTAGAGGACATTAAGGCCATTTTGGACTTTCTAGAATGCCTTGCATTTTCTAGACAGCAGTGTTACCAGTGAAAAGCCATTTACTAGGCAAAGCATGCCCTGTGTTTTCTAGTTAGAGATTGGTTAATATCTTAAGGCCGGGGGGGTGCAATTGGGATTTCCTGGGTCCGAGAGATATGGAAATTCTGAAACGACTAGCTTGCAGGATTCTGCAGGATGTTTCTAGTCAACACCGGAACCTCAGATATGTGGAATGAGTTGAACAGGTCGAATTGTGCAGTTCTAATCTGTCTCTAGCAGTTACAGTAATCTGTCGGGTCACAATGGTAACAGCCAAAATGGAAGAATGATGTCATTCATTGCTGCTGCCATTGACAAGACATATACTGACCCAACATAACACGCCCATTGGTCGTAAACGCGCGGCGCGCAGACAACGATCGAAAACCCCTTGGAAACGGACCCATCATGTCCATTTTGTCCCACGCACCGTATGGTTTCAGCTAAACAGCCATTCTTGGTCCACAGCAACATCAAAGATGTCTTTCGGTCGGCATCCAAGTTTGTTTGCGCGACACTGTCTGTACACACGGAAGGCTTCGAGAACAGTGAGCAGACCTGGACTCTCGTTCAAACGAGTGGCACACAACTGCTCTATGTGACTTTCGGCTGGAGATCCAAACCCCCCCGCCCACCCCACCCCCCCACCCCATTCTGATCACACGACTAATCGATGTCAATGTTGCGCTGTCGATGACAATGTTGTGATATCGATGACGATGTTGTGAAATTGACTTGCCCCCACCCCACCCACCCACCCCAGTTTAATCACACGACTAATCCTTGATTCTTGCTCTAAATAAGAAGTCTTAAATCCTTGAGCTGGGCTCCAGGTGTGTTTGCGTATGGTTTGCTGTCAGCACTCCTTCAACTGCATAGCCTCAAAGCTTTGTCATTCTATTTAGCCAGCACGGCCTCACGAATCGGCGTACGGTTCCAATCAAACGAACACTCAAGGGTGTGTGTGTGTGTGTCCGTGTAACATTCCAGCTCAACTATGACTAAAAACAGTACATCCAAACCAGAATGTTAGACCGCGGCGATGTGGATGATGCACCATCCCTTGGCTGCTTCAAGGGGCAAGCACCTGCTGCGGATGTTTGCGGCGACGCGCTGTGCTGGCAGCATGCGCGCTGTGAAAAGTGCTGGCTGGCGGCTGGCAACTTTGATGGGGGTGTGGTTGGGCCGGTTACTCTCCAGTGTTCCATGCCCTGACAGAAGATCATTCTCTGGAACATTTTAGGAGTCCAATGCAACACAGGTGTTGGTGGGCTCAGCGGTTGCTTGGTGGGTGATGGCTGGATTGGTGAAATGGGTTGATTGAAGCTTGCTTGGGTGGTTGCTTGGTTGGTGCTGGTTGGTTGGTCGGTGTTTGCTTGAGGAAACAGGAACCTCAGTAACCAGCTGGCAGCAAGCCAGCCCACTTATCATGGTCCGACTTTGGCTCCAATAATCTCATGTGGCTTGCTTTTTTGTTTCTTTGCCTATGTTTGGCCTAGGTGGGTGAACCTCAAGTCACAAGTCCCGCAGCAATGAGCTCCGCAACAAGAAGGAGGCCATGAAGGATTTGCGGAAGCAGCGAGGTGCGGGGCGTTTCGTGGCAAAGAACACTTACCGCATCCTCACCGGTTTCAAGAAATTTCACCCGAAAAAACACAAGGCCACTCAGAGTGCGGGAGCGGAGCCCGTGCCTTTTTGTGGGTGTGGAAGAAGCTGCCCCAGCAGCAGCTTCTTCTCCGCACAAACTCGCAGGACTCCAGCGACCTTTTCAACGAGATGTTGAAAGAGTTTGCCGCTGCTCTTCGTGAAGAGTTCAACCGCATCATCAAGATTAAGGAGGCTTCCAGTGAGCAGGAGAAGACCTACCTCTGGACAATCTGGGATGACATGACTCAATCACTGGAAGCTGTGCAGCTCACTTGCTGCAAATCCATAAAGATCCTGCGGTGGGTTCTCACCCGGTCAGGCTTGTACCTGCGCCGGGGCCCACGAGCGGCAGAGCACACAGAGGACGATATGGAGGTGGAGAACGAAGCCTCCAACGTCGACTAGCGCCGCACACCGTTTCACAACCAGCATGCGGAGCAGGGAAAGTTCTTTGTTGCGTGTGCATCTCAGGAAGCTCCTTCAATTTCCCAAAGTGCCAGGGTCAGGGTCATCTTTAGGGGCTACGCAGCCACATTCCCTGACGCAAGCATTTTAGAGTTCTGGTGTCAACCTGCCCTCTCGTTCGCTCGGTGCGTCTTTGTGTATGGTTAAACACAATGATGCGGTGTTCTATTACATAGCCTTTTTTGGATGGACCCTCCCTAAAACCACTGGCTGCTTGTAGGAAAATGGTGGGGCCTCATGCCCCAAACTGGCTTACATGCTGCAAAGAAACGCAGAGTTGATGTAGAAGCTTTTGTCATCTTTTGCATCTTTTGTCCTAGCCAGATGATTTGGGATAAGGCACCGGCCTGGATTTGGACTTTCCTCCTTGTTGCCGTCCCAGCCGGTCGATTGTTGCCACCGTAATTGCACGATAAGCCGCAGGGTTGTCAGGGGCAGATGGGGCCGAAGCGCCGCAAGAGCACTTGGCCACGAAAAACAGATTCGGCATGCTGCGGGCAGCGCTAGAAGTCGCCGGTTGCATGGTTCCTTCAATTCTTTCAACAAACTATTTTTGCGGGTGTGGGCGGTGGCCAAGCTTGGCAAAAAACCATCACGTTCGATAAGTACAAATGTAGTGGTCTGTTTCGAATCAAAAACGGCCCACCAGAATGGCGGCTTCCAACTTGAAGATTTTTTAAGGTAAACTGCTAACCCCTTCCCAGGTGTCCTGCCTGTGAGCAACCAGTAGGAGCAGGCCCCAAACCCACTGCAAACCAAACCTGAACAGGTTCTGAAGGCTCACAGCCTATGATGTGGTGCACGAGGCAATGTGCTTCCAATCGATTTGGCGTGCCAACAACATACTCTCTGGGCAAGCCTGATATAAGATTTAAATCCCAGCCATCCATTGAGGTACTGGTCAAGCATCGATGACAGTGTTGTGATGTCGACGACAATGTTGTGAAATCGACTTACCCTACGGGGTGGGTTGCGCGAAACCATACCATACGTGGGCCAAAACGGTTAAAATGCGCGTAAAACGTAATTCTGCTGGGGCAAAGCAGTGTTGCGCGCGTGCATTGACGAGCAATCGGCCCCCCAACATAAGCACCAACGAAAAAGAGGTTGTAGGTGACAGAGAACGGAAAATATTTTCATGAAAAACAATCCGCAAAATTATAAAAGTTTTTCGTGCATCTTCTCTATGTGGGTGGGTCCACGGAGGATTTCTAAGATAGTGCGCGTTGGTTTTAAATTTGCGACTCCTGCAGCCACTTTAATTGTAAGAACACATTCTTCTGTAGCGTTGGAGGTCAGGTATGTGTCCACAAGCTTCAGACCTACAGAATCGTCTGGTTTTTTGACTTGGCCCACAACATGGAGTGGCTGACAGGTCACAACTGAAACTGATTGATTCCCACAAAAGTACTTGTATGTGGAGTCGCCCACACCATATGTTTCTTATGTCCAGGTTTATCTTGGCTCTATCCCATTCCTCACAACAGGAAAGGACAATCACAGCTTTAGTAACATCAGCCTGTTTAGGTACGACGCAGATGCATAGTCCATCGCTTCCCACAAAAATCCTCGACCCGCGTTTTGTGTCGAGCGAGCGCCTTGCTCTACGCGCCGCCAAAAGGCGCTCTGTGTCTTGGAGATGGCTGTGGACGTGTGTTCCGAGCCGCGGCCCGAGAGGGGCAGGGGTCGCCGTGCTGAAAAATTATGTTTTTTCCGTGGGGCCGGAGGCATCAAATATCAATGGCATTCGTCGATATTTGTGCAGCCTCGCCTTGTATCATTACTTGCATGTGTTCATTCGTCATATCTTTGTTAATTGTTTCCCTCCCTCACACGTCCTCATGGAACAGTTCAATTGGGGCTGTGCATGGAAACTAGTAACTAGACCAGACTCGACCAGAAGTCAGTCAAAATCCCATGCCCTTCTTTAGCCAACCCAATCCCATGGCAGTCACCGGGCCATGCCTTGGGGAAACGTCCCACTCTTACGGACAACTTATGGACCCCAAGTCAAGAACTGATTTGTCGGAAGTTGCTTTGCGGTGGCTTAGGGCCACGTTAACTCCCTGGTCAGACCTGCTGACACTGGCTGAAGGCCACATCTTTTGGTTTGACCATGTTTGGCCGATGAAAACCAGATTGAAGGGATTCCTGAGTGTATGACCAATACCCTATAGAGTGGCATCATGTGTTCACTTCAGTGACACAACCATAGAGTGTTAGCATGGCTATGACATCAAGTCTGGAAAAAGAAATGTTCATCCAAGTATAGATGACCCCCCAAGTTCGGTGGAACAGGAATCCCAAACATGACCAAAACTGTTGCGTTCCACCATAGGTAAAACGCATGGCTCGGTTCAACAGTGTTCAACAGTACTGTAACCCTCGAGGTCAGCCATTGGGCCCTTTGAGGGCCTTGGGCAAGTTCTTCGCATGTCCCACGTCCCATCAGGGGCGGGCATCACCTTTTCGTGGACTGGGCGATCAAGCCACTTGGCACCCACCCCCGAGCTCTATGGCCATTGGTGAAAGTGTAAGAAGCTGAGGTATATTGTTTTAGTGAGAGGCTTTCATTTAGTGAGTCGGACGGATTTGCGGAAGTTTCTCCCATTGATGTGAAGGTACCTGTTGAGGAGACAAAGCCCACTAAGCCGGCAAATGGCTGTAGATTGTTGGATCAACGATGATCAACATATTTACAGACTTGCTGTTCTGACTTCCGTCTCACCACCTTCCTGAGGCCGAAAAGTTCAAGCCACCAGTGCAAAGAATACTTGAAAGTGAAGGCCCTGGAATGCCCCAGTCACTAGGATGACAAAGTTGTGCCTCCAGAACGAGTTTTGTCCGAAAATGTTTTCTACTTGTACATAGGTTCATGCTCTTTCCTCAAAGGTTCGACTTTTCTTTGCATCGCTTATTTTACACTGTGGTGTGCCTTTTCCAAAAAGATATGTGTCAACTCGTTGCGAAAGCACGCTGGCACGACTCAGTTGGGACTTTGTGTTCGCACTGTTGTTAGATTTCAACGAACACTGTTGACACCTATTGTGTTAACAGTAGTTTGATAGAACATCAGTGTGTGTGTGTGAAGGTATAGGCAACTGGAAGTCTCCAGGTACTGCACCCCTTGATTTGGCATCCACTGAGCCATACTCACATCTTTCAATAATGAACTACTCTCTCAGTTTCCCTCTTCTCAAGCTGAGCGAACTGCAAGATTTTGAATCCAAAAGATGTCCTGTTAGAACATAATTCTGCACCACCTGGGTGCTCGGAAACCTGAACATGGTCTCCAGCTATCCCGGTGATGCGACGCGCTTTTTGGGAAGCAATGAGACCTGCCAAATCGCTTTTCACCCAGACATCCCAGGATTGAGGGACTCATCCTGTTTTTTAAAATGCTGACAAGGTCATCATTGTCCTGTTTTCTGCCAAAAATCGCCCTTTATCAAGAGCAGATATGTAATCATGGATGATTGACAACTCTTTGGCGTCTTTGGGGTCTCGCGGTCTCGCTTATGCTCAATATAAAGATCGCTCTCAGGCCTGCTTATCACGAAAGCTAGCATGCTAGCTGAGTTCTTCTTTGCTTTAGCAATGTTGTGGTGGGAGGGGCTGCGTGCCTTAAAGATTGATATATCAAGCTAACCCCCCCCCCCCGCGGTTCAACTCCCAGCTGCGCCGTGTAGGGGGTTGGTTGAACGTGGTTGGTTGGGTGTAAACGGTGGCTTGGTGTAAAGGGTGCTGCTGCTGCTGCCGCTCTGCTGCTTGCTGCTGCTGTTTGCTGCTGCCGCTGGTTGCCGCTTTTGTAGCTGCTGCTTTGCTACTTGTTGCGGCTGACGACGCCGCTGCTACTGCTGCTTGCTGCTTGCTGCTGCTGCTTGCTGCTTGCTGCCGGTGGTGCTGCTGCTGCTGCGGCTTGATGCTGCGCTGCTGCTGCGTGGTGCTGCTGGCTGGCTGCTGGTTGGTAGTTGCTGCTGGCTGCTGGCTGCAGGCGGCTGCTGCTGCTGCTGCTGGCTGCTGCTTGCTGCATAGGACTTGTACTTCACCGTTACAAGTTGTTTACCCCTATTTCTAACCTAATGCATGCATAAGCGGGTGGTAAATTTACCCCCCAGGCTTGCTATAACCATACACCGGCTATTTCCTCAAGACACTCTATTCTTGATACCTTTTACCAGTGCTTATCCTACACTACGGACGCCCTAGTGTATGCACAGTCCTTGTGATGCTTACCCCTCGTTCCGGCTCAAGGCATACATAAGCGGGGGGTAAATTTACCCCCCAGATTTGCCATAACCATAAGCCGGCTATTTCCTCAAGACACTCTACTCCTTATACCTTTTACCAGTGCTTATCCTACACTACGGACGCCCTAGTGTATGCACAGTCCTTGTGATGCCAGAAATGCCTACCCCTCTTTCCAGCACAAGGCATACATAAGCGGGGGGTAAATTTACCGCCCAGATTTGCAATAACCATACACCGGCTACTTCCTCAAGACACTCTATTCCATATACCTTTTACCCGTGCTTCTCCTACACTACGGACGCCCTAGTGTATGTACAGTCCGTATGATGTCAGAAATGCTTACCCCTCTTTCCGACTCAAGGCATACAAAAGCGGAGGGTAAATTTCCCCCCCAGATTTGCCGATCACGCATCTTCGTGCCTGCCAACGAGTGCACCCGGGTTGTTCCAATGTACCCTTCCCAGTCAGCGATGTCACATTTACATTCTTTAGCGCAAAGTATGTACATAGCAACCTTCCTCCCAAAACATGTAATCCCTACATGCTTTGCCGACTATGTAACTAGTACATCCGGTGCGATTCGGCTAGCTTTCGACCTCTCCCCCTGGCCTCAAGTTACACATCTCACTAGTCTTGGCAACATCATTTCGGCGATGCCTTGATCGCTCCATGCCTTGATCGCTGAGGCTTGTTGCGCAGGAGCAGTTGTCTCCGCGGAATCTGCGGGCTGGTCACATGGGACGGGAGTGCCAAAGGATGTTATGAGACAAGGAGCTCTCGACTCAAACAGCTGCGGGTGATACATAAGTCTGAGAAACACGGAAATAAAAGGCAGATCTTGGGGAGATCACCTGTCCCTGGTCATTACAATTTTGACGGCCAATCAACCATCCGGTGGACCAAACGTGGGGTGACCGAATGTTCCGACTGGTAGGTGCTTGATTCTGGCTCTCAGGCAATGTGAGGACCCGTGGAGCAAGACTGGCATATGATCTGCAGAAGATTCGAATCGATGGCACAAAGCCAGCTGAGCCCCTCAAGCTCTTTTAGGGTTCCATCAAAGCAACCTCTTGGAGCTTGTACATGTTTGTACCATCAAGTACCATCTACTCACTCCAGTGCAGCTGGTTTTGACTGGCTTGAGTTTTGAAGGGAGAGGGACACGGGACATGGGAGAATTGACCCCGGAGAAGGAATCCCGGCCTGCTGGGACTGTCGAGGGTCCCTCCGGCGCGCCGACCGCGGGAGACGCCGTCGGGCAGGACATGTCGCCACGTCCGTTTCGAATGATGATGATACCTGTGGGGAAGCCCTGACGTGCGACGACTGTGGGGAGGGAGCTGATTCAGTGCTTTGACAGATGTCCTTTCTGGGTTGGTCTCTTCAGTCAACACCCTTGGGACTTCATCAAGAGGGGGTGTTGACATGTTTCAGCCGACAGTCGAACACGGTATTGTGAGAACGTGCCAAATCACAAGAAGCGCAAGAAGACTGTAAAAGTTCATCACTGATGACTGGTTGATGCACATCAGAAAACTGAAGCTGCATTTGCCTCCAGAAAAGTGGACGACCTCGCAAGCCAGAGACCATGATGGCGCGCTGGGCTGCCATCGGTGACAACAAACCGATTCAAACGAGTTCATGAACGTGAGCTCGATTGGCATCCACTAACAATATCTAACAATCTAACAATAACGAGAAACAACTGATTCAGCTTCACATGACGTCGCCACCAGTGTATGAGTCAGAGAGTCAGAGAGGAATGCCATTGCCATGTTGATTGGAGCACAATACACTGACTGCGCGAGATGGCTTTCGATGCCTCCATTTGCTCCAAGAGGAGATCTGATCTGTGCGGAGGGTCGTTCCTTTTTTGAGGAACCTGATTGATGCGCGTGTCTTGTGGCCCGGTCACCTTGGTCGGCCTCACTTTCGAAAGCGTGAAGGAATGGCCAAGAAGGAACGGCCAAGCGAGCCGCGAAGTCTTGGACCATATCATGAAGGTCATCTAGAGCATCTAGCCACACCCACCCCAAGTTCGTCCTCATTCAAACACACCACATTGCAGTGGACCTGAGCGACACCGGCTACCTGCATTCTGCTTCTGTGTCCAAGAACAAACAGGTCAAGAAGTGGGATTGGATGTTTTTGGATGTTAGTGGAAAATCAGAGGGGCTTGCAAAAATGACTCTCACTTTTTTTTGACTCTCAGTTTTCTTGTTTCTGATGCTAATGATTTTGATTCTGATACTAAAGAAGAGGGGGAGGAAGAAGA